ATATATATATATATATATATATAAAGATTTAGTTCCCTTGTGATCGTTTTAATAAACTCGTTATCAAACTCGCTTGAGTCACTAACGTAATCGTCGTCGTCTCTGCTTTACGTTAGATCGTGAAGGAAGCTCAGCAGCAGAACGAGAGGCACCTCACCGAGAGGAGGGAGAAGGCCATCCTCGAGCTGGAGAAGATCCGCTACCGCGTCAAGGAGCTGGGCAAGTGTGGCGAGATGGAGCTGATGGGACAGTACCTGCAGGATATCCGCTCCATGCAGAAGAAGCTGAGCGAGGTGGAGAGCGAGATCGGCTGGATTAACAGGGAAGAGGTTTGTGTCAATCTGCTTGACGAGATTAACAGGCAGCTGTAGCCAATAAGCGTTGCGATCGGACGTTCTAAAAACAGTGCTTATAGTGAGTGACGCAATGGTGAAAATTCGTCATTTTGGAAAAAACCGTGTACAGACATGTGGTACACCTGGGTAGGTTGATCATGGGCATGTGGTTATCTCACTCGGGTGGATAATTCTTCAATAAATCTTTTAATAATTCAGATAACCACTACTGTCACTGCACGAGAAAATGATGCTTGGTTTCTGTCACATATTGACACATACTACTTCGGTGATCATATTGACACATACTACTTCGGTGATCATATTGACACATACTACTGTGATAATGCAGAAACCGAAACATAATACATAAGGGGGAAAAACTAGTAATGCGAATATAATGACCGCGTGTCTGTCTCTGATTCTCCCATTCTTGTTGCATAGGAGTTGTTCACGCAACCTCCGACAACATTCCCAGTCATGCGCGAGGTAACCGTGGCGATGGAGCCATACACGAAGGTCTTCACGGCGATCGTCAAGTGGCAGCGAGCAGAGAAACGTTGGATGGATGGAGACTTCCTCAAGCTCGACGCGGAGGCCATCGAGGCTGAGATTGAGGACTACGCTCGTGACATCACCAAGTACGTTAGCTTATACTCCCGTTGTTAAGTCCTGATCACAGGTCATTATTACTTGTCCATGTGCTCCTGCATATGCGTGCGTGCTTCCGTGCAATGTTCGTGCATCCTGTTCGTTCCTGTGTGTGGATACAACTTAATAACTCTGTAAGGTAGCAATAAAATAAACTTGCTTTTCGTAATAGGGTTCAGCGACTCTTCACAAATCAGTGGGATGCCAAGAAGACAGAGATGCTAGCGAGTAAGTCGAAAAAGAAGGGCGATATCATCTCGGAGGAGGATGAAGAGGAAGACGATTCCCCGCCTACAGTGCTGGCAGCATGCCAGAAAGTTCGGGACAACATTAGCGATTTTAGGGTACGATTTTAGGATTTGACACATTGCTAGCTATCTACACAATCTGACCGACTTGCACAATTTAAATGGACTGATGTCCACATCGGTACTAATCCGCAAGAAGATACACAGTACAGTTGCGCTAGATAGATGTACACATAGATGGAGATATTTACAGGAAATATTATGATTGATGTCATTTAAATGTAGAATATACACGCTACTAGCTATATACGGTTACACTTTAAGCTATACGGATAATATTACGAGCGATTATCTTGCGTGCGTTCAGGAATGCATTCCGCTGATCTCGACGCTGTGCAACCCCGGCATACGCAAGCGGCACTGGCAGCAGATGTCTGACCAGGTCGGACGCGACATCACGCCGGACTCCGGCACGACCCTGCGCAAGGTTCTCAAGCAGAACCTGTCGAGTCAAATGGAGAAGTTTGAGGCGATCAGCGGCGCGGCGACGAAGGTAGGGCTCGCGAGGTTCGCCCGTCTGTATCCTCGTTCATCAGACGTGTACAGTAATTACACTTGCGTGTGAATTCACATGCCTATACGTACAGATATGTGCCTCACGGTTCAAAGCTTCTTGAGCTTATACACAGATCCGTAGGAATATGCATGTTCATGTATGTACTGCATCTCTTTATCTCCCCCAACACCTCTGCAGGACACATACGTATGCTCTACATCTCCCCTTCTCCCCCAGCCACTCTGCAAGACACATACGTATACATGTACTACATCTCTCCTTCTCCCCACCTACTCTGCAAGAATATATATGTACACGTATATACTACATCTCCCCCTCTCCCCTTCTCCTCTCTTCACTCGCGCAGGAATACTCGCTGGAGAAGGCCATGCAGAGGATGATGGACGAGTGGGACGAGGTGTCGTTCGCTCTGACCGCTTACCGCGACTCCGGCGTTCACATCCTCGCCTCCGTCGACGACATACAGAGCATGCTCGACGACCAGATCGTCAAGACGCAGACGATGCGAGGCTCGCCATTCGTGAAGCCCTTCGAGGCGGAGATCCGCACGTGGGAGGAGCGGCTGCTGCGCACGCAGGCATGGCCGCGATTCGGGGACTAAGCTTAACGAGCTACGGCTCAGGGGTCTCACGGTGTGAAGGGGGTTTCTCGATATCTCGTATTGAACGAAAAAAGTTTTTTAGTTTTAAACTTATAGATCAAATTAATTAGTTATAAATATAATATTATATATATATATATATGTATATATATATAATATATTTATATGATATTAATAAGTGAGCATCCCTTTCCCCCACCCCGCACTGTTTTTGTTTCGCATCTTGCCGGCATTATTGCCAAGTTCAGTTTCGTTACACAGCCTTATTCTCTGTTAGCAATTGCGAAATAGGCCCTCTACAGCTTCCCATAGCTTAGAGCCTCTACAGCTTCCCATAGCATATGGCTTCACCGTGTCTGAATCTGGCCCTCCATGACGCAGGAGACGATCGACGAGTGGCTGAAGGTGCAGGCACAGTGGCTCTACCTGGAGCCGATCTTCTCTTCGGAGGACATCATGAGCCAGATGCCCGAGGAGGGCCGCATGTTCAGCGCGGTCGACAAGAACTGGAAGGACGTGATGAGGAACACGGCGAGGGACTCCAAGGTCGGGGCGAGGGGGGTCTGAGAGAGTCGATGCTGGGGGGCGTGAGAGGGAAAGGTTCACAGTGTGAGACTTGAGGGTGTGTGTTGTGAGATTCGAAGGCGGGGATAGTGTATAAGAATTGAAGGTGAGTTTGTGTAAGATTCAAAGATTGGTGGTGTGAGACTTGAAGACATGTATAGTTTGAAACTTACACATATGGATTGTGTCAGTATAGAAGGTGGTGGGTGGTATGCGGCTTGAAGATAGGTATAGTGTGAGACTCAATGATAGGTTGTGTCAGTATTGATGGTGGTGGGTGGTCTGAGGCTTGAAGGTGGGTGTTGTGTGACACTTGAAGATAGGTGGTGTAGGGATTGGAGGAGAGTGGCATTCGAATTGAACGTGTAGGTGGTGTGAGTGCACACAAGAAGGCAGGTGCACATTGGGTATTTAGGGGATTAAAATGTCATAGCACACAATGTTGGACATCACACTATTCGAGCATAGTTTTTCTCGCCTTGCGCATCTCATGTCTTATTAATTAATGATTAAAGAGCTCGCCTAATATGGCAAACTAATAAGGCGGAGTAGCATTTTTCATCATGAATAATTGCTATCTTGCCTGTGTCTATAGGTGCTGCCAGCAACAGGATTGCCCGGCTTGTATGAGAAGCTACTAGAGAGCAACCAGCTCCTGGACAAAATCAATAAGGGCCTGAATGCTTATCTAGAGAAGAAGAGACTGTTTTTCCCAAGGTTCGTTTTGAAAACATTGTCTTCTCACACATAACACACACATCATCTGCTTATGTGTAACACATCGTCTGCTTACATGTAAGACTCGTGTGTAACACATCATCTGCTTACATGTAAGACTCGTGTGTAACACATCATCTGCTTACATGTAAGACTCGTGTGTAACACATCATCTGCTTACATTAAGACTCGTGTGTTAACACATCAGTCTGCTAACTGTAAGAGACTCGTGTGAACACATCATACTGCTTAACATTGTAAGAACTCGTGTGATAACACATCATCTGGCCTTACAATAGTAACGACCCCGTGTGTAACACATCATCTGCGTTATACATGGGGTAAAAACTCAAGTGTGTACACACATCGTCATGCTTAAATGTAAGACTCCGTGTGAATAACCACATATGGTCTCTACATGTAAGACTCCGTGTGGGTAACACATTGTCTGCCTTACAATAGTAAGACTCATGTGTAACACATGCATCTGCTTACATCTAAGACTCGTGTGTAACACCAATCATCTGCTTACATGTGAAGAGCTCGGTGTGTACCAGCATCATTGCGTTATCATGTAAGACTCGTGTGGTAACAAATCTCGCTTACATGTAAGACTCCCAATGATGATAACACCAATTCGATGCTTGGACTTACATCTAAGACATCCGTGTGTAACACATCATCTGCTAACATGTAAATGACCGTGGTGTGAACACATCGATCTGCTTACATGTAAGACTCGTGTAGTAACACATTGTCTTCTACATGTAAGACTCGTGTGTACACACGTCATCTAGCGACTCTATCATAGGTAAGACTGCGTGTGTAACACAGCGTACTGCTTACATGTACAACTCGTGTATAACCTCATCTGCTTACATTGTAAAACTCTGGTAAGCAGTCGTGCTGCTTCACATGTGGAACCTATGTGTAACACACATCACTCTGCTTCCGCATGTAGACTCATGTGTAAAAACATGCGCTCCGCTTACATGTACGACTCGTGTGTGAACCTCGTCCGTACAATACGTATTAACACATGCAATCTGCTTACATGTAAAACTCGTGTAAACACACTTGTTTGCTTACAATGTAAGACTCGTGGCTGAACGTGTAACACGTCGTCCCGCTCCTCGATACGGTGTCACTTCCCTCCAACGACAGAGATCGCTGGAGATTCCTGCAGCGAGACGAAGGGACCCGCTGCGGCGATGCAGCCGGCACACAAGAATGCTTCGGAGGGCATCTGCGCGGCCTCGAGTTACGACCGAGCACAGCTCACATGAGCCAACGGCCATGTACAGCAGCGAGTGCGAGTTCGTAGCGCTTCAGCCGGCCGAATACTCGCAAGCGGAGGCGCGCGGCGCCGTCGGAAGCTGGCTGGCGCAGAGTGCAGGACGTCAAATCGCTGCATGTAGCATAGCCGACGACGTTGTCGACCAGCATCGCGCCAGGTTGAGGGGTGGTTAGCTTGTGTGCAGGTGAGGGGCGGTATAGTTGGTGTCAGTGAGGGTGTTAGTGTGTCAGGGTGAGGGGTGGTTAGTTTTGTGTCCAGGTGAGGGGTGGTATGAGTTGTTGTCAGGTGAGGAGGCGGTTAGTTTGTGTCCACGGTGAGGGGTGGATAGTGCATGTGTCAGGTGGGGGGTGGTTAGTTGTGTCAGGTGAGGGGTGGGTTAGTTTGTCAGGCTGAGGGCAGTTAGTTCGCGTCCAGGTGAGGGGTGGTTAGTTGTGTCAGGCGTGAGGGGTGGATTTAGTTGTGTCAGGTGAGGGGTGGTTAGTTGTGTCAGGGTGAGGGATAGGTTAGTTGTGTCAGGTGAGGGGGTGGTTAGTTGTGTCAGGATGAGGGGTGTTAGTTGCTGTGCAGTGAGGGTGGTTAGTTGTGTGAGGTGAGGGTGGTTGAGTGTGTGTTCAGGTGAAGGCGGTGGTTTAGTTGTGGGCTCAGGTGAGGGTGGTTAAGTTGTGTCAGGTGAGGGGCGGTTACGATTGTGTCAGGTGCAGGGGCTGTATACGTTGTGTCAGGGTGAGGCGGTGGTTAGGTTGTGTCAGGTGAGGGATTGGTATAGTTGTGTCACGGTGAGGCGGTTAGTTGTGTCAGGTGGAGGGTGGTTACGTTGTGTCAGGTGAGGGGTGGTTAGTATGTGTCAGGATGGGGTGGTTAGTTGATGTCGGTGAGGGTGGTGAGTTTGTGTCAGGTGAGGGGTGTTAGTTGTGTCAGGTTGAGGGTGGTGGTTAGTTGTTCAGGTCTCTCTGAGGGTGGGTTAGTTTTGTGTCAGTGAGGGGCGGTTAGTTGTGTCAGGTGAGGGGTGTTTGAGTTGTGATCAGGATATGAGGGTGTTAGTTTGTGTCAGGTAAAGGCAGTGGTTAGTTGTGTCAGGTAGGGGTGGTTGAGTTGTGTCAGGTGAGGTGTGGTTAGTTGTGTCCAGGTGAGGGGGTAGATTGTGTCAGGTGAGGGGTTGGGGGGTTAGTTGTGTCAGGTGAGGGGCGGTTAGTTGGTGTCAGGTGAGGGGGTGGTTACGTTGTGTCAGGTGAGGGGTGGTTAGTTGTGTCGGCTGAGGGGTGGTTAGTTGTGTCAGTGAGGGGTGGCTTAGTTGCTTCAGTGAGGGTATAGGTTAGTTGTGTCAGGTGAAGGGTGGTTAGTTGCTGTCAGGTGAGGGTGGTTAGTTGTGTCAGGTGAGGGTGTTAGTTTGTGCTAACGGTGAGGGGTGGTGATAAGTTGTGTCAGGTGAGAGGGTGGTTTAGTTAGTGTCAGGTGACGGGTGGTTAGATTGTGTCAGGTGACAGGGTGGTTAGTGTGTGTCAGGTGAGGGTGTTAGTATTGTGTTCCAGGTGGAGGGGCGGTTAGGTTGTGTCAGCGTGAGGGTGGTTAGTTGTCGTACAGTGAGGGTGTTAGTAATAGTGTCAGCTAAAGAATGGGGTGGTGATGAGTTGTTGTCAGGTGAGGATGGGTTAGTTGTGTCACGGTCGAGGGTGGTATATAGTTGTGTCAGGATTGATAGAGGGGTGGTTAGTTGTGCTCAGGTATGAGGGGTGGGTTAGCTTGTGTCAGGTGAGGGTCGAGTTAAGTTGTGCGTCAGGTGAGGGGTGCATATAGTTAGTGACAAGGTGAGGGTGTTCAGCTTCGCTGGACTCAGGATGAGGGACGATGGTCAGTGATACAGCCGCCAGGTGAGGGGTGTCAAAGTTATGTCAGGTGAAGGGGTCGGTTAGTTGTGTCAGGTGGAGTGGGTGGTTAGGTTTTGTGTCAGCGTGATTGGGTGGTTAGGTTGTGTCGGTGAGGGCGGTCGGCGTATGTCGTCAGGTTGAGGTGTCAGTCTGCGCCAGGTGAGGGTGGTTTAGTTGTCAGGTGCGAGGGGGTGGTAGTTGTGTCAGGTGCGGGGTGGTTAGTTGGTGTGCAGGTGAGGGCGGTCGTTGTGTCAGGTGAGGGAGGTTTTTTAGTGTGTGTCAGGTGAGGGTGTGGTAAGTTGGTGTCAGGTGAGGGGTGGCTTATTGTGTCAGAAAGTGAGGGGTGGTTGGAGGGTCGGTCTGATAAGGTGAGGGGTGGTTAGTTTGTCAGCGTGTAGGGGTGGTTAGGATTGCTGTCACGTAGAGACGGTCGGTTGTGTCCAGGTGAGGGTGCATGAGTCCAGTCGCTGCCGAGAGTGAGGGGCTGGTTAGATTGTGTCAGTGTGTAGGCGGCGTCGTTAGTTGTGATCAGGCGTGAGGGTGGCGTTAGCTTGTGTACAGTGGCTGAGGGATGGAAGAAATTCAGTTGTGTCCGAGTGAGGAGGCGGCTTAGTTTGTGTCAGGTGAGTGAGGCGGTATAGTGTGTGTCAGGTGAGGGGGCGGTTAGTTGTTGTCAGGTGAGGAGGGCGTTAGTCTGGTGTCAGGTGAGGGGTGGATCAGTTGTTCATCAGGTGAGGGGTGATTAGTTTGTGTCAGGTAGAGGGGCGGTTGAGTTGTGCTCAGGTGAAGGGGTGGTTTAGTTGTGTGGTCAGGGTGAGGGGGTGGTTAGTTGTGTCAGGTGAGGGGGTGGTATTGTGTCAGATGAGGGGCGGTTACGCTTGTGGTCAGGTGAGAAGGTGGTAGTTGTGCCAGGTGAGGGGACGGTTAGTTCGTGTCAGGTGAGGGGTGGTTAGTCTGTGCCAAGGATGAGGGCGGTTAGTTTAGCTGTCAGGTAGAGGTGTTAAGTTCGGTGTCAGGTGAGGGTGGCAATAAGAAAGCTTGTACGCGCAAGGGTGGAGGAGGGCGGGTTAGTTGTGGGTCATCCGAGTGAACGTGTATTAATCTCGATCCAGGAGGACTCATGTTTAGTCGTGGGCAGGCATAAGTAATTTAGCTTGCATAGTCGGTGGTCAGTGCAAGGAATAGTTTCGTTCATGGCTGGCAGGGCTACGCGGATACACTGCCCGTGACCAGTGGTGACAGAATCGGCCCATGGTCAGCGTAGTGCCTCTGTGTGGCGCAATCTACTGGACCAGTGGAGGTCCGACGAACTAATCCGCACAGGTAGGCGAGGACAATCCGAGCAACATCATTAAACTATGATTTAATTTTTCACATTCATTTACTCAGTTAGTGAGATTGTAATTCTTCGATAAACTTTAAAACTCTATCATCATCTATCTACAATTCGTTAGTGGCGCCACTTAATAATATTTCTATCTTATCAGCGGCGTATATACTAACCTTTAGTCTTTCTGAGGATCTTGGTACATGGTCTATTACTGTTGCTGCGTACGCCATATAAGGAGCAAACAATTTTGCCAGTATGGTTCCCTCCGTCCCGCCGCTAGGTCCGCAAGGGTTTGAAGGAGTACTACGAAAGCTGAACCTTCAGCTGTCTAGAGATTGTGAAAGCCCTAGGTGCGAGAGGCAAGCTGTCCACGCAGCGAGCGCCGCATCACCCTGCGCGAGACGCTGGTCGTCATCCGACGTGCACGCGCGGCCGGGATGTCGTACTGGAACATGCCAACAAAGTGAGCGCACTCTTCAGCATATCGGTTGATTATCTTTTCGTTTCACTGCCCGTAACTAACGCTGACCAGCTATAGAGTTCTAGGGCCTAGGTGTGGTGAAGGAGGAGGCAAAGGAGGCAATTGTAGAGTGTGTACATTGTCCGACGTGTAGTTGTTGTCGTTCGTTAGTTTCTGTCCAAATGCAATGAGTGCTGATCTTTTTTTTAATTCAGATCAAAAATTATTCGAAGAATTAAAGTGAATTCGAACATATATTCCGCAAACGTCTCCACTACCGACATATTTCTTATAAACGAACAGACGGTTGTGAACAAATCCTCTAGTTTGTACTATGACTTTCGTATTAATAAAGGGTAAATTCAAGTTTGCCCCCATGTCAGCAGAAATTCAACATGCGAAGCGATGTTAATAACCATGCTTGCATTATATACTGTCTATGCTCTTACTGTACCACGACCAGGAGTCGCATCTCGAGAATGAACTTCACAGTGGTTTGGCCTCAGCTGAGGTATGTACTGGAAGATCTCAACTGGCAAGGTGAAATTGACCAACGCACGTGAAGTAATCGCGTAGTAAATATAACTGGGGTAACCTCTGGCAGGTGAGATTCTACATCTCGTCCCACCTAGGCAATAGAGGATTTGGAACTAGATGCCGAATTATGCCTTTGGCTTTAGCAAGCCAGGAAGTCGCCGTGTTCGAATAAAATCAATTGTTGCTCTCAGCCATAAGTCAATAATAATCCTGTCAATACAATTAAATAATAGTGAAGATAAAACGGAATTTTAGTGCATCATATATAACTGTCGAGAAAAGAAAGTGAATCTAAATGGTAGACCTACAAATGATCTGATCGGAGAGAATTTTTATATATAGCGTCATTTACACAGAAAGTTGGAACGATACACTTGTAAGCAGCATAAACTGTTGTGTTCATACTTATCTTCCGTTACTCACTTAGCAGAGAACAGTCCTCTGGTATACCTAACACTATGTAACTACCTGTGCTCTCTGGTACCGCCACGAATTATGTATTTTCATATGGGAGATATGGGCTCTATTGCAGGAATGGAACCGGAGCGACAAATATTGACCACGTAGCACGTGGGCGATACAGGAAAGCGCGGCGATCACCACCAAGCGAACCACCACCACCACTATCAGGACAACAAAACATATGACTTTACCACGCTCGGTTCTATTATGACCAGCCCACCACCAGACATCCACCCGTAACTTAACGTTGCTCCCATCATCTCTAGACTGTCATCACTCCACCCCTGACTCGACCGCTCTAACGAACTCTGATCGGAGCGCCCTTCCTCTGCACACTGAACGGAGGCCTCCGGAGTGGGCGCGGCGGAACACGGGCAAGACGGAGACGACCGAAGGATCTCTGCGAAGAGGCGGGCTCGCGTTCGAAGATGCGGTCGTAACTTCTAACTGCTCGCGACGGGCAAACCCTGGACTGACTTGGCCGATGAGCAAGGTTGGGATCGCGCGTGTCACACAGCCACGAGCTGTGTCGTACGTGTACAACCCATAGCACTGTCGTCGTCACGTGTACACACCGTAGCAGTGTCGTACGTGTAGCACACGCGTAAGCTGGTGGTCGTACGTGTACACACCGTAAAGCTGTGTCGTAACGTTGCTAGAACACCCGTAGCGTGTGTCGTACGTGTACTACACCAGTAGCCATGTGTCGTACTGTACACACACCTGTAGACAGTGTCAGAGCGTGTACACACCATCAGCTGTGCTCGCAGTGTCACACACCGTAGGCTTGATGTCGCACAGTCGTGTGTAGCTGTGTCGCACGTGATGTGTAGACTGTGTCGTTACGTGTACACCACCGTAGGCCTGTGTCGCCAAGTGTGTGTAGGGCTGTTGTCGCAACGTGTTGTGTAGCATGGGTGTACTGATACGTGTACAAACCGTAAGCTGTGAGTCGACACGTGTACACACCGTCAGGCTGTGTCGTACGTTGTACACATCCGTAAAAGCTGTGTGCCGCAACGTGTGTATACACACCGTACTGTGTCGTACGTTGTACACAGCCCGTAAGCTTGTGCGTACGCGTGACACACCAAGTAGCTAGTGTCGTACGTTACACACCGTATACCTTTTCTGTGTGTATTGTGCGTCGTACGTGTACACACCGTAAGCTGTGTACGGTACTGTACACACACGCATACAGCTGTTATCAGTTACGTGTACACCACCCGTAGCTGACAGGTGTCCGTACGTGTACACATGCCGTAGCTGTGTCGCACGTGTAGCAACAACCCGTAGTTTGGTGTCGTAACGTGTACAGCACCAGTCGCTGTGTCCGTACGTTGTAGCCACACCAGTAGCTGTATCCGTAACGGTGTACACAGAGCCCCGTAGCTTGTGCTATGACGTACGTGTGACATCACCGTACCGCTGCTGTCGTACGTTGTATACGAAACCACCGTAGGGCCATGTGTCGTAAGTGAGACACCGTAGCTGTGGGTCGTAACGCATGTTAGCACACCGTAAGCGCGTGTGCTCGCATCGTGTACACCAACCACGATAGCTGTGATCGTTACGCTGCTACATACCAGTAGCATCCGACTTGATGTCGTTAACGCGTACACGGCAACCAGTAGGTGATAGATTCGAACTGTGGTACAACACACGTAGCTGGCGTGTCGTACGTGCTGACACACACCTGTAGCGTGAATCGTGCGTCACGGTGTACCACACCGTAGCTGTGTCGGGGACGTGTACCACACCGTAGCTGCGTGGTCGGCACAGTTGGTAGCCGATCACCAGGTTCAGCTGTGTCGGCCTTACAACCAACGTGGTACACACCGGTCTAGCAGATGTCTATGTGGTCAGTACGTGTGCACAACCCACCAGTGACGTCTAGGTGTGTTCGTAGCGGCGTAACACACATCGTAAGCTGAAGATGATGACGTGTAGCCCACAGCCGTAGCTGTGTGCCGTATACGTGTGACACAGAGCCGTAGCTGTGTCGGTAGCGGTTACACAACGCTGTAGCTTGTGTGTTAATGAAAGGACCGTGTACACATCCGAGGACTGACGTTGCGGTCGACGTGTACAAACTCAGTTAGCCTGTGTCGCAACGTGTGAACACGACCGTAAGTATGTGTACTGAATACCGTCAGTTAGGACACACCGGAAGTCGCGTGTAGTCGTATACGTGTAACGACAAGAACGACACGAGTACTGTGTCAGTAGCAAGTTGTACACACCGCGAGCTGTAGTCGCACGGGCTAGCACACCGTTAAAAGGCGACGTTGTAGTCGTCCGTTGTGACACACCGTAGCTGTGTTGTACGTGTACACACCGGATATGGCCATTTGGGATCCCGTATGCGTGTACCCACCGCGTAGCTGTGTACGCAGTGCTGTACACACACTCGGGGTAAGGAATGATTAACT